AGGGTAGTGCCATAGGGACCTTCTGCACGGTAGTGCGACACTCGGAGGACATCGCCTGACATGAGTGGCACGACCTGGCCGTAGTGTAGAGGCTCATTGCCGGCTGAAAAATACACTTGCAGAGCTGCTCCTCGTCCAGCTCCTACTGCAGTCAAAACGTCCTCTCTAGAACAGCGACTGGGCAGGAGCGTAGCGAAACATTTGCCACTGCAATCAAGCAGAAACAATGGCGCCCTCGCACGTCCAATCTGGCAGGCAGAGCAATGTGGCAAAGGTGCCAGTTGGTTGTGGTTGAACAGCGCACAGGTGCGGAAAGCGATGTTTTGCCGCATTGGACCGAAGTGAACGAACCTGGCTCAAGGCGGAGGTCACGGTGCAAGGGGTACCAAGAGTCAATAAATGAATCTCTGGCCTATACCCGGGTGCCAAAACTAGCCTGTGAGAGCTGGTGCGGGCTCGAAAACTATGGCGAGGTGGGGGGCCGGAGCCTCAAAAGTCGGGAAGGCCGGTCTTTCAGGAGATCGCGTGCCGCGGTCTGCGATTGCTCTGTCATGTATAGTCCGGCCGGTTAGTTGCGATTGCCTGGTTCCTGCAGGAGGCGTAGCATCAGGTACTCGACATGAACGGGGGTGTGCGGGCTTGGAAATCACATGCCGCTGAAGGGGCCCTTCGAAGACACAGGAAGACAAAGGGCTGTCCAGCTCAAAAGATTGCCCGGACGGCCAGGAAGCCGGTACCGGTTTGGTGCAAAGGCCCTGCCACAGGGGGCACACAGATTGACTGGGCCAGTACTCAATGCCAGGTAAGGGGTCTGCAAAAAGCATCGGATCCAGGCCGATTGCACAATAGGAGGGCGTCAAAGGGGCGACCCTAGTATTGGTTCGATCGGTATCTGCTGTCCTGCCCGGTGAACGCGATCTGCCCAGGCACAGTTCTGTCTTCACGTGGTAGTCTTCGGCCTTCGGGGCCATGTGGACCATCATGTCCATCGTGGTCAGCATCGGATCCATCAGACTCAGAGTCCGGCTCGGATTCGGAATCTTCGTGTTCCGACTCATCATCATCATCATCATTCTCGTCCACATCAAGCACAAACCCAAAAGTAACCGTATCCCCTTCCGCTAAATGCAACATCCCTCCTGGGCCAGGTCTAGGTCGAACAGCTATCCTGTAAGCCGGTGGATTTCGGATGTGGAGGTAGTTGATCAGGTGCTGGGGATCGACTCGCCGATCCGGGAGGTAGTGATGCATAGGGATGGCATTGACTCTGCGGGGATCCAGGAAAATAACAATTCCCTGTCGATGGTGGGACACAAAGGGAATGTTGCAAGTACACCTCGGCATTGGACTCCGTGTACCGCGAGATCGGTGAAAGCATCACCTGTCGGGACACTGCATATGGATGTCACCGGCCGTCGCTCCACCAGGTCCGCAATAAAATCCCTGGCTGACACTCCAGGAAATCGGCGGCCTGAAAAGAGAAGGTGCTGATCGTGAAACAGAACCATCACAGGACGATCAACTGGCGCGCCCGGAAGCTGCGGCTGCGAGAGCCACATATTGGGCCTGTTGAGCCGCGAGGTGACAGGGCTATACCATACAGGCTGTTCTGCTTCACGCCGAAACTGAACCACTCCACCCATGACGGCTAACACGCTGTCGTCCGGCCCAAGGGCAGCGGTGTGGCCGAAAAGATAAGCGTGCCAGTTCTCAATAGAGTGCCTGGTCGCCTCTCTCCTGCAATCTCCATGGGTTACTCGGTCGTGGGAGTATGCAGCGTAAGTAGGACCGCCACAGGCAGCGAAGTCGTAGACAATGACAACGAGGTCGGTACCCATGACGGTGCCAAGATGAACGACCCGTGGTCAGGAGCAAGCTGGGGCATCGTCGGATGGGTGAACTGGCCAAACTCTGACTGGAGCTCTCGCACGGAGTCATGCACAGCGGAGATCATGGTAGAGTACTGGCACGGAAATCTGAGCGAGGCTCTAGTCACCTCGGTGCGGAAATGTGGAGCGAGGACCTGGAACACAGCATCAACAGAGGGGTCCGCCAATGGTCCCCCATCGCCTGCATGGTACGGTGGCACCGGCAAATCCGCATTTTCCTGTAGGGGAGCATCAAGGCCACGCAAATGTGCCTGGTCGGCGCTCACAACAGCAGCATCCAGACGATCAATTTCGCAGGTGGGACCCGATACTGAAGGCCACATAGTGTCCGGACGGGGAGGACGTGGTAGGGCCTCGGGCCACAGAAGCGTGGCTGCAATCAGGACATCCACTGCTTCGCCCCACATGGGCGAGACTGCCCAAACCTGTGTCGGCATGGCCAGAGCCGACAACACGTATAAGGTAGTCCTGGAGATGCAGTTTCTCAAGCAAGGACGGAAGATTGGCGGAGTGGCATATGCCTGTTGCGGGATGGCCAATAGAGCCAACAATGCTTGGAGCGTTCTCCCTGTGCACGGATGATATCTCCAGGGTTTGTGGCAGGTATCAAGTGGCAGTCGACTCCGAAGGCTCTGGCGTCTGGCAAAGCCCCGGAGGGCTCCAGGGCTCCGTCCTACAGACACGCAAATCCAAGCAGATCCTAAAGGCTGGTCATAAGACTCCCTGCTGCCCCTCAGTCTGAGACGCAGCCTGCAGGACCGCGAAATTTGTCCAACTAGCATACCGCATAGGCTTAGCATCATGCAGAAGGACAGGCTGAGGGATAGCCCAGCAGCATGCAGCACGCACCAGTCAAGTGTGGGTGTCATCACACAAGAACCCAGGAACCAAGCTGCAAGGGCCCCACAGGCCAAGAAAGTCCAAAGGGCAGGAAATGGAGCCAGGTCCATCTCAAGCATCGTGAGGGCATAGTGCATGATGCGTGAGGTATTGGGGCTCAAGCATCGTGAGGGCATAGTGCATGATGCGTGCCCGGAGGTATTGGGGCACACCTGGGATTGTGCCAAGAAGGCCGCCAAGGCAGGCTGTGAGGCCGAGGCCGAGGAAAGTGCAACAAGCCAAGGTCGCCCGCGACCCAGAGCCACTGATACGCGTGTTTGGCGCCGACCCTGGCATTGCTGCAGTAGGCATTAGGGAACCCAAATTGAAAGCGGGTGGTCCTAAACCCCTATGGGGAAGGGTGGGAAGATGCTGGGAAAGCCCACAAGAGCGCACGTCCAGCTGGCCTTCACAAGGACAAGCAAGGAAGGCAAAACAATGTACAAGTGCACTAGAAAGCAGCGCAGCAGGGCGGGGGCTCTGCACCAGCCTCACCAAAACCCAAGGTGAGCCCAGGCAGGCCGAGGATGATTGCAGCGACAAGGGAGAGTCTGCCAATGACTCGGACGGAGAAGGCACCCACAGGGAGTCAAAACTGACCTGTACAAGGCTCGGCAGGCTCTTACATGCTGTCACTGGTGGACATTTTACAAGCGCGCTCAGATGGCCGCCTGGCCGCCAAACCTGCAACACAGGCTCCCCAGGGGCTAGTGGAACACCAGGACCTGCCAGCGCACGGCAAGGCAGATCGCAGGTTCCGGTCGCCTCAGGGAGAAGCCACGTGGCAGGTTGAGGGCAAGGTAGCCAGGTCACTGGGGTCACTCCATTCGGCCCAGCCCTGGGCTCCTGGTAGACACATCCAACTCGGCCTGCTGGAGCTCGTCCGGGTCGTCCTCGACAAAGGCAGCAGGTCCCGTGGTAGGCATCGCTGCGGACCCAGCACCGCCGAAAGGCAGCATAGCTTTGCGCTTGGCCTCGGTCAGGCGTGCCAATAACAGCGGATCCTGAGCACCACGGTCTCCATGACCGTCCTTTGCAGTTTCGTAGGGGTTGGGACGAGGCATGTTGGGGCGATCTCGTCGCACCGGCTCTCTTGGCGAAGGCCCTTCTGGGGGCTTGCCACCAGGGACAACTCCAGAAGGAACCGGGCTCACCACTGTGGCAGCATCTCCAGAGTGCAGATAAGGGTCCACTGCTGCTGGCGGGGTCGCAGCTCCTGGCAAGGTGTCCGTGGGGCATGAGTCGTCGGGCGGACTGGCGTGATGGGTGGTCCATCGGAGCCCTCTGCCAAGGCCAGCTTGAGCACACCGCCCATCTCCCTGCTTTGCTCTGCCTCCCATGTTGCCTTCATCCGGTCCCATTCTGCTGAGTTGTCCTCCTCCATCGGTGCCACTTGGGCTTCCGATGCAGGCAGATGTGCCATTCTCACAAGGCTGCGTGCTTTGGCCTGTGCCTCTTTGGCCGCCTGCACTTCCTTTTCTCGCATCTCCATCACACTGACGAACCGCTTTCTCTCGCGCTGCCAGGCCGCCTTTAGCTTCTGGTCGAATGACTCCCACTGTGCCTTCGTCTGCTCCCTGGCTTGGCATGCCTTGGCCATGCGAGTCTCTGCCTTCCTGGCCTGGTTGAGCATGGACTGCATGTCGTGGTAGAGCTCGGGGACGCCGTCCGAGCCTCCATCCGCAACCAGTTCCTTGCGGGCGATGGTTCGCCCATCCTCCTTCAGTGCTACCGTCTCTGCATCGAAGGACGGGAAAGGGGTCTCGTAGCCAGCTGAACGCCATGGTCGCTGCGAGTGCGATTTTGCACCACGCCATAATCCCCATTTGTCGCTGGCCCTTGGCTCTCGATCTGACTTCCAATCCGCTCGCCATTCCCCACGCTTACCCATGCTACACAAGGAGTAGCGGGGCTTCGTGTGGTGCCCTTCAAGAGGCACGAGATGTCGTGGCAGAGGGCGGAGTCCAGCCCTGCGTCGCTTGTGCACCGCCGCACGGCAGCGGGATCGATGCTTGCGAGCAAGCCTATGCCAATTGGGCGAACGAGGAGGCGTATCTCCTAGATCGTGCGGTTTCGCACTGGGGCTTCTAGCTATTCTGCCGCTGCTGGCAGATGTTCTGAGCCCTTCAGGCCGAGTACGGTACATTCTTTCCTGCACTCGTACCCATCGCGGCGGCGCCGGGGAGGGCAGAGGTGCTGAAGCCTTTTGGGGGCTCTCCTCTCGGACCTCGCCTCGTCGTGCAAAGAGGGCCAGGAGGGTTCCAAGTCACGGGCCGCCCTCAATGCCTCCCATGGCAAGGCCCGCAGATCGTAACGAAACGTGCACCTAAGAGCCGCCTGCTGGCACGGCTCTTCACTCAAGACCGTGAGCATCCACTGCAGGACCAAGTCAGTTCCTCACAAGGCCACACGAGACTTCAAACGCATCCCACCACGATGACACGATGCTCGCGGGCCTTTCAGAGGCTGCTTCGCAGCCTGCAGCTTCTGCAATGAAGCACCAGCTAGGCGGCGACACCAGGAACCTTGGAGAACGGGAATACTGCGCGGCCCTTTAGCAAAGACTGCTGCCTGCCAAGCTGCGAGATGTGAGCAGTGCACCGACGAGGGCAACATCGCTGCGCAACGACAGCCTAGCACATCGATGTTTCTGCCAGCAGAGGTGAACAGTGCCCAATGCCGGCACGCTACAGCATCAACCTAGAATGGGTGACTGAGCGGTAATGTCATGTAATGCCCGCAATGGCTTGCTGACGAGAGAGCAGAAGCCTTCGGGCGGAAACAAATGCTTAGAAGCGGTGTTGTCCAAGACTGAGGGCTTGGCTTTGATTCGGGACTAGACTCGATTCGCTCTACACAGCAAGCTTTCATGGCTGTGACTGCTGCCTTTGAAGCCTCAAATCTAATGTGTCTGGTGTTTGCGCCTGTCTCCGCCCAGAAAGCGGCGACCCTGAGACGCACCTTCTTTCAGCCAGGCACCTGTGAGAAGCAAAGCAAAGCAGCTAAGCTAAAAGTTGAAAGTTGAACAAAGCACCGCAGAGCACTGAGACTGAGCTCCAGGCTGAGGCGCCCCACACCGGGCCCGAGTCGGCCGGGGTGGTCCCCGCAGCTCCTCTGCTCTGCGTAGGCACTGCAGCACTGCGTGGCACGGCTTACGGCTGCTGTCTGGCGGCCTCAGGTGCTGGCTGAGATGGAGCGCCTCCGTCTCTGCCTTCGTGGCACGAGACATGTCAAGGGATCCGGGAGCTGGGTCCCAAGTCTGGCCTCTTCAGAGCCTCCCGGTCCCAGCAATTGCTCAGCTTCCTTGAGGATGTCGGGGATGCGGCTCAGCCTTCGTTCCGTTCCGACCTAGCAGCTCTTGAGCGCATGGCCGAGAAGGCGAAAGCCCAAGCCTCCGCCGCCTCCGCGTCCGAATACAGCACCAGGCAGGCCGCCCCAAGCGGAAGTTCCTTGCATCCTCAGATCCGAGACTCTCATGACTCAATCAAGGTGGACACATGCTGCACGAGGCACTCTTTGATTTGAAAGTCTGTGTCAAGCATGGCCGAGCTCGCTGGAGAAGTGCTGGGGCTGCTACGATCTCAGCGACACAACCAAACTCGTGTGGGTTTGCAACATCACACATGAATGATTCTTAATGATGTCAACATCGCTCATCGCAGCACAAGTGATGTAGTGAAGCCAAAATGCCGCCGCTAGAACAGCGCCCTCAAACGGCGGACGCCTCAAACAACTGCTAGTGGATGCGAGAAACAGCCATGCAAAGGCTGCGATTGAACCCTAATGAAGGCACCTTCTGGGCAGCAACAGCAAGGCCCGACGCGGTGGCACCGGAGCAGAAGACTCCGCGCAGCACGGCGCCATCGCCATGAGATCGCATTTACGCAGAAACCTTTTGGAGGCTTAGATCGCTTCTGAGCCGAGTCTCCTGGAGCAGGTATCGAATCCTGAAGCAGCAAGCGGCAGGCCTCAAGGTGCCATACAACGCCCAACGCCCATGCTTTCCGAACTCCCAGGTCGGGGTGCGCCTTAGCACCTCGTTGCTCTCTACGCTGGGCCAGCGGAGCTAACTGGGAAATGTTCCTTCGAATTCAGAAGAGGTTGTAGCCTTGGCTTGCAACTGCAACTTGGGATTCGTGTCAGCCACAATGCCTGCATGCTATGCATGCTAGGAGGCGGAAGGTGCTGGCACCGCAAACACGGCAGGCGGCAGGTGCAGGCTGACCTGGGGAAGCCTCGAAAGCTGTTGCACAGTTCTGCAGTCACTGACTTTCTCGGTGGCACATTTGGCGTGTGGCACTGTGGCTCCCCTATTAAATGAACCTCTTTCTTCTTCGTCTTCCTTTTCTTCTTCCTCTCTCTCTCTCTCTCTCTCTCGCCTTCTTTTCTGTCTCAGAGCATACGACATAAGGGGGCAACCCTGTCTGCAGCCCTTTGTTTGCTGATGTTCGCAAGCGTCGCTGAAGCTTCGGTGCGTGGGTGTTCCTTAGTGGGATCTACCGTGCTCCCACCCACCTGAAAAGCTGTGTGGATCGGAGCAGGCGTCACAACATAATTGAAACCGCTCCCTCTCGTGGATCGGATCCGAACTACTTGCAATAAAGCCACACCCTGTTTCTCCTCATTTTGCTTCCGTGACGCCGATCCCCGCGGCGAGCGTCCCCACCCTTCTCTTCTCTGCGTCACCTGCGTGATGGTCACGCCCCCGCAGTGTCGAAGGTCTGGTTTGTGATTCGTTCCCCCAAGCGTACTCGTAGCTGCTCCATCGAGGTTCAAAACTCCATTCAGCTGAACTTCGCAATTTCTGTCCTGCAACAGCTGTTGTTCGGGATCCCTTTTTCTGGGTCCTCTATCCCCAAAATATCTGCCTGGTGTGCAAAGGCTCTTCGAGATCGCGTCTGCTTTTGGTTTCGCTCCTCGCGTGGAATTTGTCCAGGTAGGTGCCCCTTCCTTTGTTGGCCTTCCTCCGACTTTGTTTTGGTCGCAAGGGAAGCTCCCCCTGGCCGGTGCTCCAAGGTAGCAGTGCACCTCCTGGCTTAGCAGCCGCGAGTGCTTGAACGCAGAAACGAAAAAATATGCCTCGTGCTCCTCGCTCTGGATCTTTCACACCACGGCTCCTTTTTCCTTTGGCAAAGTTGTGACAGTGGTACATCCGCAGCACAGTACGTGAGGTGCGATAGCCGTTGGGTGCTCGAGAGGAAGAGATCACCGGCGGACTGCAGTCAAACACCAACATTACTCATGAGGGTCAAAGGATGTCAAAGGTAGAGTCTTTCAACAACAGCTCCCCAAACTTCTTGTTGACTGCAGCCGCTTGGCAGAAAAGAATGAAAAGAAGAGCCCTTTGCTTCTCCTCCTCTTCATCCTTCAACAGGCGCTCCGTGGCTGCCCGCCCTCGCTGTCGTCCAGAGGGCTCCTTGCGGCGCTCCAGCTCCGTCTGGATCTCGTCGATGCGGAGGTTGCCGGTCTTGAGCATGTGGAGAAGAGCTCCATTCCGCTTGGTGATGTCAGCCGCCCTTCGAGGGCTTGCTGGCGGTTGCTTTGCGGCTGGGTCGAGCTTGGTGGTTGCCGCTGCTGCTGCGCTGGCTGCCGACGTCGCCACATGCCATGGCTGCAGGTGCTTGCTGAGCAGTTCTGACCATACTTTTGGCTCGGGTGTGTGCCTGAGCTGTTGCTGCGCTGGGGGCTCCCTCCGTGTTCCCCGTCACGGTCCTCTCGTTGGGTAGCTTGGTAGGTCCGCTGGTCCTTGGTTCTGATGGGCTGCTGCGTCGAGACCTGGTGCTGGGTGTGTTCCCGTGGCCCCGGCCGTCTGTTGCATGGGACCTCCTTCTGCTGCCGTCGTCGTGGTTGGTTGGCAGGCTGTGGTAGGGGGGTGGTAGGTTATAGCGTGTACCCCAATTGGAGCGTGTATTGGAGCGGAGCCTGTTGTTGCAGTTGTGGAAGCTGCTGGTGCACGCTGGGTCTGCCAGCGGCGGGTGAGTGCTGTGGCATGGGGGTGGTGGCCGCCGTTGCTGCTTGCCACTGGTCGCACGTCGTAGGCGGGGGGTGGTGCTGTGTGGGCGCCGGCTGCCAGCTCGGCGTAGCGTCTGCTCCTGGTGTGTCGTCACATGGGTCTGTGTCCGGGTCGTAGGCCGGGGCGAACTCTCCCCACGGCTGCTTTGGGTCGGGTCCTGGCTGCCAAAAAACTGTTGGCACAGCACCAGACAAGAGCCTGACCCCGAGTCACACGCACGGATCTTTTAGCACCCGGCCCTGACAAGTGGCTTTAGCAGGAGAGAGTCGCCGCCCTCTCTCTCTCTCTCCCTCCCACCCTCTCTCATTCTCTCGTTCTTTCTCATTCTCTCTTTTGAGGATCTATGCCACATTATGTATGTGCCTGCAGCATCTTCGCCTCAGGAATTGAGTGGGCACCGACACTACGAACCCTTGCCAGATGACACTTCACGATCTTGCTTGTGTCAGTCTGCAATTCTAAGCTGCCTCGACTGTGCGCCCACATCTTCGGCATCTGTCCTCGTCAGACGATAGCTGGCACGGCAAAGCGGCTGCTTGCCCCTACTCTGCAGACATCTTTGGTACTCCGGCGTACTGTGTCGTGTCCTGATACTTGATCGGCTCGGCAGGCTCCAGGGAAGCCAAGAGATTGCCAAACGTGCGGAGGATTCCAGACGTGTGCTCCACCCTTCGTTCATGAACATCAAGCGAATGCATGCAATGCAAACTGCCATCAAAGCCGTTAGAGAACTCACGGCTGCCTAAGCCAAGCAAGGACTGCTGGGCATGCGAATGCTCGAAAGCTGAGGGCGTGTCAGGGCTTTCTTATGCCCCTGCACATCAAGGCAGCCCAAGTTAGGCCAAGCGCGAAACTCTAGTCCCGACCTTGCTCTTCACGTACCAATCGAAGGCATCCTGGTTTCGAGGTCCACAATGCCAACATTTTAAGGGGCACAGGGAGGGAGAGACAGAGACCTTGCCGGACTCCCAGACCGAAAGATTGATCTCCTTGGCACGGCTGCAAGGCTGGGCATGGCGGCTCCGCTTAAAATGGCGTCCCTGCCTTGGCCCAGCCCTGGTCAGAGCTGGGGATCACCATGACCACCTCCGCCGCGCGTCGCGGCGATGCGGGGACGCGGCTGCACGCTCCGTTTCTGTCCAAGGGGCGTTTGCACAAAGACCTGGAAGATTGGGATCATGGAACTCCCCCCAAACCTCAGACCATCTGCCGGCTTCCATCCCCCCATGCACTCAGATCGTCCAGCTAAGCAAGACTTTGCCGACCGATGCTCGCATATTCGGCAACGCTTCTCCTATTTGGTGGCTCAGAGCTGAGCTGTGTGAGCTGGTGGCATACCGTTTGACTAAGGCAATACAAATACAAACATGCAGTTAGACTAAAGAACATGAGTGCTTGGCCAATAACCATAAGCAAACCAATTATCCATTCTGAACGCCCGCTGGTGTGCCTCCACCTGGGTTCGTGTCGCATCGCAGATGCTCTAAGCCCCGACCAGGACATCATCGAACTGAAACGTGCCGGAACAAGCACACCGGTAAAGCCTGACAACATGAGACAGGCGCATCGACGAGGGTGTTCATAGTGTGCCTGGGGAAAAGGCTGCTTGTGGATGCGGGAAGACAGGCATAATGTAGCAAGCATACGAGGATGCGGCTGCAGATCCGTTATGCAGGACTCCACGATCTGACCTGGTGCCACCAAACACTACATTGTCGCACGGCTCCATACATGGCTTGCACATGCTCGCAGCACACAACTTGGAGACATTCAGGTTCAAGTAGCTCTTCCAACTATAGACCAGCAAGATCGTGTTCGGCAACCTGGTATCTACAATCTACGGTGTGGTGTGCTGAGCCATGTTTAAGGACTGTACCAACAAGTCCAAAGCGACTGCCATCATCCTCTCTGAGTGATTATGGTGTGGATTCAGTGTGGTGGGGGCTCCGGAGATCTCAAGGGTACTCAACATTCCTGCCATGGGAGCTTGCCGATGCTTGGCGGTCTGCGCAAAGGCTAGCAGACTAGGTGGGTCTATGCTTCTTCCACACAGATAGTGGTTACTCCAAGCTTCTCTGGCTATGCGCCAATAGCAAGCATCGTCGATCAAAATGACACTTGGCAATCAGATAAGTGCCGTACCGACGTTGCAGACAAAGAAATTTGGTCTGCGCGGATCTTTCCCCCGTGCCTTCGCTGATGGCGACAGCAAAAGCGATATCCCAAGACTCACACGCGCAGAGGTCAAAGCGACAGCTAACTAGGCGGACATCTCAAGTTCTGCACGCGCTGCAGTTCAACTAGCAGCTTCCAGGTGACACTTGGGCGTCAGCAGGAACACTGTATCACTTGGAACCCGGCCTTTGGCGGCACATACTGTGCTGCCAGACCCATTGCCACCTGAGTCGGGCACAAGGCTGTTGCTCCGCATGTTCGTTCTTATGTAGTTCTGTCAACTTGCGTCACTCACTGTGTGTGTTGCGAGAATGGGATTTATTGGTTGGAGCCTGACTGGCCCAGGTAAGCCTTTTCAACATCTTTTGAGCATCAGAATGGGAGCCCATGGACAGCACGTACGTGCAGTGTTCCCCCTTTGCGTCGGCCTGATTGATTCTCATGATCCTCAAGCACCATCACAGCACGTGGCTAAGCCTTCGACTTGCTCTCCGTAGTATGGAACTGGTGCCTTGGACCGCAAGGGATCGCTTGGGCCTAGATGCTGGTAGTCATGTTCCCAAGCCTCGCAGGCATAGACCCGGAGCTCATGCGGAATGATCAGTGCCACCACCTGACAAGCCGAAATCTGAACCCAACTCACAAGCGCAACAAACTCTACCTGCGTGCTGCTTTAGCCTAT